TATCAGTTTTACGGCTTATAACAATGGGTTCATTTTGATATGAAAATCATTGAATTGGCTTTTGAAATAGCATGAAAATAATTTTTCTGTGTGTGTTTGGAGTCCTATTCCTTTTGCAACAGCCCAACTTTAGTCGCTTGGTCACGTTGCATTCGCATCCTGGCAGCAACAATGCGACCCTGGCTCTTCTGGTCGGTAGTGGTTGAGTGTTTAGTAAGTGGTTTAGCAAACACATTTAGTTATTTGCCAAGCGGCGACCCGGCAAACAGGAAGGCCGCAAAAGGATGAGGGGCAAACTAAAGCTAGGCCTCCGACACGCACCGAAGGACATCGAGTGGAGCACTTAATGACACTTAGTGATACTCAATTATCACTGCGGCTCCTTGCTCAATTACTTGACGAGGCCTCTTTCGTTTTTATGGTCGTGGATCCTCCTCCTTTCTAATCTACCCCCAATGCAAATGTAATCTGAAAGTTTGCGAAACTTCCGCCCGATTCCAGTGGCTGCTGCAGTTTTCGGCCAACTTTTATTAGCTTTCCCGCTAATTGCTTCTAATTTAATTAAATTTAAAAACTTTTGCGCACTTTTAGTTGAAAAATATTGTGCATGCGCATTTTTTTGGGTGGCATTCGGGGAATCGCGGGGTATAGCTCTACGCTGAGCTGGCAAATGAGTTTGGGCGAGTGTGTCGCATAATAGTTTTGCTATAAATTTTATGCGTCTGTTTGCATTTTGCAGTAAAATATTTTATAATTAAATATTTGTTTAATTAGTGCGAGTGGCCGCCGTCGCAGACCAGTTCGTTTCGGTTTTTCGAAGGGGCTGGGGGATTATGGCTGCGGTTCCCAAAAACTGTTCATTTAATAAGTGGCCAGCATTACATTATTCTCCCTTTTGCCCTCCAACATGGTCAGTTAAATAAATTTAATTTTGGTTGAGAGCTGATAGTCTTCCCCATCTATTGCACTGAATTTAAAATTGAATTTCGCAAATTAAGTGACCAAATTCAAGGAGCTGAGCTGTTTTAATTGCATAAAAGAAGCTTTGGATGCTGGGACTTAATTTCTCACAAAACAATTTTTCCCTTGGGTCATGTCAATTGTATGAACTTTTTGTGTAAGACAATTAGGAAATCGTCTTATCGAATCAAAATAATTGAAGTGACGGTTGTAAATAAATAGATTGTATGTATTGAAAAAGACAAGAGTTTCTTTGCGGACAAATTGATTACCATAAAGGAATATTGAACAAATTGTGGAAATTTTCCCATTTGCATACATTCGAATAATACAATATTTATAATTGGAAATGATGCTGAGGTTTTGTGTGGATTTGGGCAGCAGTCAAAAAAACATTTTCTTTCAGTCAGTTTAAATAAAGGATTATTCAAGTTTATAGTTTAAGTCAAGGAAGTATTTTTAGTATGTTCTCAATAACTTCAAACATTTGTTTTAAACAATATCTGACTCTTTTTAAAAAGCTTCCGAGCAAGCACATTAATAATCTGAAATTGAAGGAACCTTTTCAATATCCATTTATTGTTATTTATGTCCGAGACTCATTAAACCAACCTCAGTGGGTTGCTTACGTTATTTTTGGCTATTTGTAAATGTCGATAATGAAACAGGAATCAGCTTCTTAGCCGGGCAGCCAGGAGATGAGCCTGGCTCTGGGGTAATTAATAAGCGTAAACCCTCCGACATCGCATCAGCTTTCAGCCATTTGTCAGCCATTGTCTGAACCCGGTCATATATCAGCCGGAGATGTGGAAAATACGCTAGAAAACACGCTAGGCAAAACAAATTGGGGAAAAACAAAATAGCTCTGCAATAAGTAAAATTAATGAGCTAAAATGTAATTTTATAAATTGTAAAATGCTTCCGGCGTATCCTGTCTAAAATGGGAAATGAAAAAGAGCATTTGGCAGGAGCGAAAGTGAGGAATTATGGAAGCCATTTTCGAGAGAAGAGAAGGAGAAATGGAGGAACAGCCGGGAAATGCCGGGAAAAGCAATCGGGCAAGCAAGGGTGAAAGTGGATTTACTTTCGTCTACGTGACACGAGTCCTTGTCCCCTTTTGCGGTTGTCGCCGGCGATGATGATGATGAGTGCTGTCCAGCCAGGACCTTCTCCCCATATCCTTTCCGTCCATCCTCAAGCAGGAGACACGCATCGCGTGGAACGTCTGCGAGCAGATTAACGTTCACGTACCGAAAAGGGGGATCGTCCTTGCTGTCAGTGACAGCAGGAGCAGCTCGAACATGGCGGCCATGATTTTCGAAATTAATTCAACTTGATTTTGCTTTCTTCCTTTTTGTTTTGCTCCCTCACTTCGTTGGTCCTTCTGTTTTGCATGTGTGGGGGGGAGAGTTTCCCCGTTTTGGGGGAGAGTGGTTGTGAATGGCTGGGTGCCCGGGCACCGCAGACAAGAAATTAAAATTCATTTCAAAGGCCAAGCGGGGAGAAAGGTTTGCACGAATATTCAAGGCGCAAGCCTAAAAGTATGCAAGGACCGTGGAGATAACCAACCCTTGCAAGGCAAACAACCCTTCTTCGGGGCGGTTTTGTTTTTTCCCTTTCTGTTTTCCACAATGGCTGCCATGTTTCCTTTTCCTTTTGTTGCAAGCCAAAAAGTTTTCTATTGTTTTTCAACTGTCATGATGAACTTTTGCCTTTGTTGTCGCATACTTTTGGCAACAAATTTCCGTAACCCCATAACCCTCTTCACCCCATCTCACATCGACTGCACATATTTTATTCTGCTCGACTTAATGCGGGGCGACTGTCAATGCTTTGTTCTTGTTGCGTGTCTGCCAGCTGTCGTCTTTATGGCACAGATCCATTAATATTCTTTCCTAAATGTGTGCCTCAGGTGCAGGCAGCCTTTGTTCCCCACTTTTTTGTGTGTTTTTCAGCCATTGTTTGAGACGCTACCATAGGAACTTGTCCTGACAGCTCGACTACCTGCGAGAATTGAGCCGTGAGTCGTTCAATTGCCAAGTCCAGTCGAGAGGGAAAATCTGAAACAAATCATGGCCTGTGCCTTGGCCTAAAGGTATGCCAAGCACTGAGTCTCATACTCTGATTTCTACAGAGAAAAAAATTGGCAAATCATTTTATGTTAACTCATAACTTCAACCCGTTTTACTGCTTTTATTATTGAGTGACCTAGCAGAGATCTCTATCAGTCTAGTTATATTATTGTACAAAATTAATTAGAAATAATATTTTATTTTAGATACATATTTAATTACCTCAAAAACTTTACTTTTGTACTTATAATCTTCCATAAATTAAAATTTTTGTCTCAGACCGTTATAAAAAGTTAATAGTGAATACTAAGAAAAATATTTCGGAGCACAAATTTAGCTTTAACAGTAGATAACTTATAAGAAAATAGGTCTTGTTACATTTTTCACATGAAATCTATTTCTTTTGAGATTTATTTATTTATGATGTTAAATAATCTTATTCTTTGTTTTAAGTTGCATTTCGAAGTTAAGAAATTTATTGAAATTTGTGTTTTAAAATAATTTTCCCTTTGTGTAGGCAGCTTGGAGTATGCGAAAATTGTTGTGCCGTTTCATTTTATTTGCATGTCTCCCCATTTTATGTGCACAAGTTTTTAACCCTGGCGAGTCATAAAATTAAAACCAACGCCGACTCTTAGGGTGCGGATTGGTGGTCCTGGTTCCGTTCCCGTTTCTGCTCCTGCCAGATTCCCTTTGAAAGCAGACCCACCATTCCCGGGCCGCAGGGCTCCTTGTACTTCACCTGTCCAGCCACCCACTCCACCCACTCCACCCACCGCGATCCCACCTTCCACGGCCTCGTCTGCAGCAGATTCTGAATGCAAGCCTAACGACCTGGCATTGTCGTTGATAAGGTCCAAAAATGCTTGTCTACCGATTTTTTTAAGCCAGCTCTTTGCTGAGTTTGGTTTGAAATGGTTAATGTTTATGCAAACGGAGGATGCGGATGCGGAGGACATGCTCACTTGAATTCACTGAGGCGAAAGTGCTGGGAATCCTGTTTAGTCCAAAGTGCAAAAATTTAGGGCCTAACAGATTTTTAAGTAAATATTCAGCTAAGCTTTAAGATAATCCGTATAAATTAGTCTACTTGTTTCTACCTTTTCTCGGCTTATGAAAATGTGAAAACATTCTGTAAAGTGATATCACCTTACGATAGCTTATTATTTGATCAAACTTTGAGCCTCAAAATATTCAAAAATTAAAACAACAAATTAATTTTACGTATTTTTTTCGTAATTAATTAATCCTTTTAATAAAGGTAAATATCGAATATAAAATAAAATAAATATATAAATTTGAAGCTATTTAATATTGAAACAAAATATCTGTTTTTTAAAGACAGTTTGAATTAATATGTAAAAAGTCACAAAATCTTTAGTAGAACAAAGTCAAAATGACTTAATTTGTGAAGATACATATTTTGGTCAGTTTTTTGAGCGAAATTTTAAGCTTGGAACAGTCTCTCCCCTCAAGTCATATTCTAATTTGCATATTCAAGTTGTATGGGTGGCAAAGGCCGAAAGCTCAGCACCAAAGCTTTCTGATTTGAAATTTTAGAAAGCATTTCGTCGACAACCCCTTTTGATGAGCCCGGATTTGGCTGGAGATACGAGCACACGACCATAGATGGCGCCTCTAATAACTTATTATGTTAAGGGTGAACTTAGGATTATGATAATGATTATGATTTAGAGTACAACCAACCTGCTTCGGAATAGCTCCATGAATCGATCCGTTTAGCTGCTTCTTCTGCTGCTCCGCCTCACGAATGTTCAATTAGCGTAAATATTAAAAAGCATAAATCAAAATTGGCAACTCAAAGCATTTTTATTTAAATTACAATTATAATAATAATAAGCACGAGCATAGCATAGATCAACTAAAAGCCAAACTACATACAAATATAAAGTTACATCTAGAGCTACTAAGCTTTTCTTATCGACTAGTTCGGTTAGTGGGCCTCTAGTTAAGCTGCAGCTAAATGCAATTTTCTGGCCAGGTCCTTGGGGCAATCTGCAAAGATAGAGAGAGAGAGAGAAAGGTTGAACAAGTTGTACATTTTGTTTCTGGAGACAAAAAAGCCACAGGAGACGACCCGGAATGGACATCTCCGCTTTCCTTTCAGTTTGCCCCCACGCAGGAGTTTACAACAAATTAAACTTGCTTGTGGGCACTAAAGCAACGGCAACAACATTGCCAACATGGCAAAGTTTTCACTTCAGCGAAAAGTTTTAATAGAAAATTTTAGTTAATAGTTTTTAACTTTGCCGCTGCGGTGGATTTGATAAGGGACCTACACCCAGCACACAACACATGTAGAACTTTTTAGGAAGCGACCGCAGCAACAAAGGAGGTGGCTTGGGGTCGGATAATGGGGCACATGGCCAACCCACGGCTCCTGTTTGGATCTGCTGGCCAGCGTCTGTCTAATTAATTAAATTCGCTTTTGTGAGGACATCGCCTCGTCCAGCAAATTCTGTCTAAGCAGCAAGATAAGCAAAAAGTTTTGGTTTCCTTGGGGTGAATGGGGCTTATTGGCTTTTTTGGTTTCTCAATAGCTGGAATTTTTTAGAAAACGCTAGTTGTAAATTTGGTGTCATCAAATATTATGTTTCTTGTGCAACTTAAAAGTATCCCTCCATTATTTCACACCACCTAAATAGCATTCACTTTAATAGGTAATTCCTAGTCGAACCCCTCCCGCTTTGCCCGCTTACTAATTTCCTGTTTGCTGATAAATAATGCGCCACACATAGAAGGCAGGACATAGAAAGGAGTTAGAGCTGGGCTGTCCATCCCCGCGTTATGTAACTTTAGAGCACCTAAAATATTAAAACACCCCCTCAAATCCCAATCCCCGGTGGGTGGTCCGATGGGGGCTTTCCTGAATGACTGGAGGAGCGGCAGTGCTGCAGATAAGGCGTAGCTGGAGCCCGTTGGCTTAGCCAGGATGCGCAGGACACGTTGGCAAAGAGCTTAAAATGTGGCCCTAAAATAACTTTGACTGACCTCCACCCCACACACATACACCCGCACACATAAAGAGAATCCCACACGTACTCGCTGCTAGGATTTAGTATGCCACGCCCACTCCCCCAAAAGCCATCCCTCCCACATTTTAACTGCTTGGGGCATACATCAAAACTTTGGCTTACGCTTAGGATTTATTTATTTTCATATTTACCAAGGGCCCACACGGACGCACACGCGCCGCAAATGAGAGGGGAATGGCGGTCGGAGGGGGAGGGAAGAGGGACTTTCGGAGGGGCACACAAGGATCTCAAGGATTTGCACCTTGTGCGGGGCTTTTAACGGCAGGAAGTAACACGGTAAGAAAATACCTCAATCAATGCTTATGTTCTTTGGTGCATTTTCCTCTAGGAAAAACCGTTAACTACTTTTATTAGCCACCGGGTATTTTAATTCATCTTCATATTTTGTAATTATTAATGTGCATTGAAAAATTACGAATCAGAATATAAGAATATATATCTAGGAAAGATTTTTCCACTTGGTCATTATTACTACAATCACTATAAAAATCATAATTCTTAATTCAAATCACTATTTAATTCTCAGCTGCTAGAAATTGTTGAAGATAAACTGTTATATTCATGAAAGGAAAATTTATAGACAATGTTGTTAGGGTTTTTCGCGGTGGACCTACATCTAATTCGGGTTTGGCTGCCTGGCACAACTGGCCGTAAAATGGAAACTGGTCAAAGGGGGCGTGGCTGGAGTCCTTTTTGTAATGACTACGTGACCAGATCCCAGGCGGCGTGGCTTACGCGGCGTATGCGCGTTATCAGCACAACGACATCTTCTCGGGAAGGACTCCCTCAGATTTTATGTATTCGAAGCTATTAAGAAATGACATTAAAAAGCGAGCACAGCCCGAGGGCAAGACCCAAATCTCTTCCCAACCCCACTCAATCCCTCCGCTCGTTGCGTATTTAAATGCGCCATTTGCATATTTATTAGAAGGACTCAACGCGGGTTTTATTTTTGTAAGGTTTTTTTGTGGGCGAATCTCTTGAACACTGCGAGGTTGGAAATTATTAAAATAAGACAGAGCTACGTAATTATTTTGCACCCCACTCACTGCCATCATTTTGGCATTTATGGAAGGCAAACAAAAGTTAATTTAGACGCTGCTTACATTTTACAAGCAATTTACCCGGCGCACAACTCCAGAGTCCCCGTTTTTCCCCCATCCAATGCGTCCATTGATGTCGCCTTTGCCTGAACTCATCCCCAGTTTTTGGCTGGCTTTGTGCCGCCGACTACGAGTACTTTTCATCCTTTTCACAAACAAATTTGCACTTCCACGCATTCATTAATTTGCTTATTAAGAGACGAAAGTCAGGAGTGGGTGGCGGTATGTACTATAGAATGTTTCTTTTCTCTACATGCAGTCCACTCCTGCCAGGATTCCCATACCGATCTGTCCGTTAAGCTCTTGTCCAAATTTAAGCGAAGTGGAGCCAAGCCAACTGAAAACTGAGAACTTATGCCAAGAGCCATAATAAATGCATATGACAGCCTTTCCTTTTGCTGACAAGAAGGACTCTTCCTCGGTTCCCTTTCCACCTCCGGACAAGTAGCACTATATATAATTTTATAGTCGGAACTGTTGTACTTGCGGTTGCTGCACTTGCAAATGTCAAGATGAAAAAGGGGAGCAGTTCTCAAAAATGATTTCTCGGGAAGAATTCCTCGCCAAGTTTGTGTACTTTCGCTATGGTAGGGCTTAAGATTTCATAGACCTTTACAGATATATTTATTTAACAAATAAACCTATTTTGCAGAATTTAAGATATAAACATACAAATTCAAATAAGAAAAAAGTCAGAATTCAAGTTAGATTGCCACAGATGGCATACATATTCGTCTTGAAATTACATACATAATTTGATTTGAATTCTTTTCTTTTTTGTAGCTTAAATTTATAAATTATCTAAATCAGCTCTCCTAACAAATACAATTAAATACATTTTAAATAAAATGATTTTAAGAAAACTGATAGGTTTAATTAAATCAAATTGATGTTTTGCTAATATCAAAATCCTAAGTTTAAATAAATTTATTCAAATTTTTAAATAAAATTGAAATTAATACTCAAAATTTAAATAAATGTATTTAATTTAAAATTTTTTCGTAATGGAAATGGAAATCCAGAATATATTCGACTACTGTGCATGTATCACTAAGTAAATGAAAAGCACCGCTGGGGCAGTTAAAACTAAAGCGGCAGGGAAACTTACGCAGAGTTAGAGGGCTGATGGAGATGGGCTGGGATGGGGGAAAGTGGACTGGAGAAAGGAGAAAGGAGGAAGGGGAAAGAAGGGGGCGGAGAAGTCCAGTCGCAGGCATGCAGCAATTACAAAGCCAAGGGTTGTGGCTGAAAACGGGGATGGGTTGATGGGCAATGGAAATCGGGAGGAGGGTGGACACGTAGAAACTTGCAAATATAAAATTGCACAATTTAAAACGCAGACAAAAGACGGAGTGGGCGAGGAAGGCGAGAAAGGGGCGTGGCGGGGCACGTATTAAGCAGTGCTACGTGCAAGGAACAAGCAGCAAAATGTCCTTGTGTGTCTGTGTGTGTAATGGTGTCCTGTGCGCCATTTACATTTCACATTTCTAGTTTTCAGTTCAGTTGAGTCATTATTTTATTGCCAAGATACGAGCGGGGACTCTGCGTCGACTTCAGTCCACTCAAACCTCCCACATCCCCCTCCCTTCCATGTGTCATTGCCGAAGGACTGGAAGGACTAGGAGGACTAGAAGGACGAAAGGGCTGAAAACGCAGGAGCAACGTCTAGCACCAACAACACTTTTGCTTTTGCATTATTTCGAGGGAGGGGGCGGAAATGGGAGTTGCAACCACGGACGTTGTCTCGTCTCTCCCGTGGGTGGCTCCTTTCCTTTTCGTCCTTTTTGGCCATTGCTCCTTGCGCGTGTGTGTCTGTGTTATTAGATTGTTTCAGCTGAAATGTTATTAGAAAATTTTGAATTCAAATTCAAATGACTTCATACTTCCTGCCCACATCCAATGGCATTTCGTCCATTCTGCAAAGGACGTGCACTTCCTTTGTGCACTTGTGTGCATTGGTCTGCGTGTTCGTCCCAGTGTGAGTGTGCCAGTGCGTATGTGTCTGTGGCCCTGTCTCTTGCATAATAACATGGATGCTGTGGATGCCTTCTCGTCCATTAAACTTAAAATGTTTGGAGTGCAATTTGCGTTCGCTGCGGCACGTTGGCGCACTCTTTGAATGAGGTTAGAGGAATGGTCATGCAAAGGGCGGATCATCAAAAGGGGTTGATTTCTCAGCCATGTAACACACTTTGCTTCCTTAAAGACCAAAGGGAAATGCAGGGGATGTGGAATAAGAAGGCAAAGAAAAAATCCCTGGGATATTTATCGATTGTTCCAAGAAAGCAGTTTTTCGATTTTCTATTTCAATCTAACAAATGCTGATTCCAATATGAAAACTGGCTTAATACTAAATGGAAATTTATTTTTTATATCCTTGTTTTTCCAAAAACCATTTTTAATTTTATCGAGAATATATATAATACATTTCCATCCATTGAAATTAAATACATTTTTGAGTTCGAAAAATATTACTAGTTTTTAGCTTATCCAAGGTCAATTTTCAATTTTCAGTTAATTTTACTCATCATAAAACTGCACAACCATTGCCATTATTGCTCATTATAACAATAACATGTAGTTTTAAGTACAATTCTATACAATTCCATCCCAGTACGAAATTCGCTTGTATCATTTGAATAACAAGATTAAAACGTATTTCGTTTTGCAAAAAGAGAATTTCTACATGCATGCCAAATGGAACCTCGTTTTCAATCTTGAAGCAATCTATTATTTAATTTCGCCAGCTTATATGGCGTATATGTGTCTCAGTTATATTCCTACCCTAACACCGATGCATTATGCCAGTTGGCAAAGAGAAACCTCAGATTTGCAGACTCAAGTTAGCTTGGGAGGGAAATGCAGGGGGATCTGGGGAAAATTTCAAATATTCCTTGCTACGTTTGCGGCAAAGAAAAGTTTCAATAAAAACCAAGCACCGAGGCGGGCTTAGTCGGGTGGGTGGCCAACCCCCGGTTCTGGCCATGGCCAATACACAACACCCACAGTAACCGCAGTCGTAACATGGTTGAAAGGCGGAGAGGTGGAGGGGGGATGCTGAGTGGGTGGTGGTCAGTCAACCTGCAGCGTTTGCAAACTATCTGAACTGAGTTTGGGTTCTGTTGAGGAACTGCGGTAAAGTTGCTAACGTAATCATACAAACCTTGCTCTGGTTAGATGACCATTGTGGCACACAGCTTCTTTCTCTGTCCCTTTGTCCTTGCCCGTCTCTTTCTGGCCGGCAGACAAAAGACGACTTTGTCCAGTTGCGACGGCATAAGATGGAGAACATGGCAGTGGTCGGTGCTGCAGGAGGGTGCTTTTATATTCAAATAAAATGAAATTACATTGTTTTCAGCTGGCAAACAATTTGAATAGAATTTTAACTTTTTACTATTATTTTATTTCAAAGCACACAATGGCAGAAGGCCAGTAAGGACATCCAAGGACCACAAGATGTGGCCTGGCATGAGGCAATGCCAGCAGCCCCTCATTCTCTGTTCCCAGACTTTTGGCAAATGGCTGCTGAGGCCGTTCGCTTGGGATATTTCTTAATTAGAAAGATTTTGCCAAAGGGTTGTTCGGCACTTCTACTCCCCGCTCTCCTGTTTCTTTTCTTAAACGTCATTAATTTCTCTTGGAAATTTACATTGCCCCTGGGCAGTCTGTCGCCCCCAAATTCTTCCATAACTTCTAATTCGACGACGACCCTTTTTTGACATTTTTAAGGGTTTAGGCCTGGGTTCCAGCTGGATACGTGACATCACTGTCCTTTCGGCGTAATTTATCGTTTGGGGATTTGCGAATTTTTAGTTTTATGAAATTGTTCCGGTCAATTAATTGTGGAAATTACGGGCGGCCGTTTAAAGCTTTAAGTTGCGAGTTAGAACCAGCCAGAGCCAGCCACTGCCCCCTTTGTAATCCATGCCAATCCATCTGCCAGGAAAATGGGCGGTCTGCACGCTGGCCAACGGTCCCGAATGCATTTTCCCCAAACGAAATTTTCAGGCTTTGAAATTGCAAAATGCAGAAATTTTTGCCATCCTATTTTCAGATGGCGTTGGCTAAAAAATTTGCATTTTTGCCCCAGCGAGCTGGCCCAAATGAATGCACATGCACGCACATAGATGCACTCAGAAAAAAACACCACACAAACACACCGAAGGAGTTGGGGTGTTCGGAAGGGAGGGGGCAGAGGGGGCAGAGGGGGCAGAGAGGTGCACATGCGAATATGCACGCCCAGCTCTTTGCCTTTGTTGCATTTTTGCCTAGATTGCAATTTTTTGCAGCCCAATTGAAACTGCAAAAAGCCCGAAACCCCTATCCCGAAACCAGACGGAGCACTACAAATATTGTACATCAAACGTCCGAAACCTGCATCCATGGAGGGTTTTAGAGTGGCCCGGTATTTAACATTGGGTTACAGATAATTTATATTTCCAAATTAAAGGTATTTCTTCAATTAAAAGTTTAAAAAATGATTTAAAGTAACTTTAATGTGACATTAATGAAAGCTATGGAACAACAGCCGAAAAGCTGACTAGTAACGTTTTCAAAAAAATATTTAGGAAAAAATCGTTTTAAAATATTGAGTACATAAATTTAATTGCGTTTTTTTTTAGATATTAAGGTAATTGGATACCAAAGCTTGACATTTGTTTTAAATTTTTTTACAGATAAAATCTAAAAATTTAATTAAAAGTTATTTAAATTCAATTATAGAGTAAGTTTTAGTATTGAAATGAAACTGTGTATTTTAAACCAAAAGGAGTTTAAAAAATCTAAATAATACAGCTTATGGGCAAGGTCCACCCTAGCACGCTTGTGTGGGTTTTTGTGTTAGTCCCGAGTCCTGGTCTCCATCAGCAGGACGAACCCATGCATTTGTCGAGCCCGAGTCCGAGCAGACAGACCCGGAGTCACAGGACCCGGAGTCGGAGCCGCAGCTGGAGCCTAAAATGCAGTTTTTGGCATGCAACGGGTTTTTGGGGCAGAGGGGCCAAAATGGATGGGAACTGCAGAAGGAGTTGTTGAAAAAATTTTGAAATTGCATTTCAGATGAATAGACGGGTGACAAGGTGGTTCGGATCGGGGAAGGTGCAGCGAGGGGGCGGTAGGTTCGTTTTGGCTGAGGCCCCCGAAAAAGGACTATTGAACAACGGATGCTGTGACGATAGATGGCCCAGGATGGCTCCTGGTTGTGTGAGTGATACGCATGGCTGCCGGAGCATAGCGGGGAAGTCCCTCCTCCGACTGAATCCCCTGCTTTTTGTCCATTTCGGCCATTTTGATGCAAATGCATCTCGGAGTCATGTTTGTTGCTTTTGTATCCGAACGGAGGCCGGAGAAACACTCCCAAAAAAACCAGGAAAACATTGGGAACTGCCCCTCCCCCGGATAAAATGGCATGCAAATGACTTTGCTCAGATTTCTTCTAAAAGAATGGTTGGTCGTTTTCAGGGTGAAATCAAATTGAGCAATGGTCTTAAGTCGATGCATATAATCCTGCCACAAAATGTGCCTGAATTGCAAGGATACAATTTCGGTTATATTACTCTGCAGTTTTGTTCAAAAGTTTGAAGAGACAAAATCTGGCTGATTGCTAAGAAACAATTTGCAATTTTAAATTGTAAGAAAATATTTGTTCGAGCAACAATAAGTCCTAGTGATGTCCCTTTGATTGTAGATTTAGCAGAATTGGTTGTCTTAAACATCTTTGAGTGTTGGTGTCCCAAAAACATCTATAGATTTTTCAAAGATTTTTCAAAGATTTTTAATCTTGTATAGTTTACATTAGTTTATCATATTTTTGGATTTAATTATTTTATTGTTCAATGTTAAACAGCTAGATTTCTGTTTTGAAATGACTAAAGATAATCCTAATTCAATTTCCTCATTTAAAATTTGAAAAACATAGCTTAGAGCAGACTTTAATAGCTTATAGTCATCAATTTTCCAGATAAGGATTTAATTTATTCTTAACGAGAAAACCGTTGCAATTGCTGCATTTAATGTATGTTTTTTTTGTATTTTATATTGTTTTTTTGGCAAGTTTATTTCGATTGTGTTTTTCAATTGTTTTATTATTGCGGGATCTCCCCATTTCCGCGATTCGCTCTCTGTTTTCCCTTTCTGTTTTCACTTCCTTTTCACTGGCTGTTTGTTTTTAGAGGAAAGTGGCCAGAGGACTGGGTCCAGTACCCGCACATCCATCCATTTCTATTAGTTATTTGTTTTCCGAACGTTTTTGTAATTATTTGCCCGCCTGCCGCATGCTAAATTGCCTAAGTAAATATTTGACAATTTTGCATTTGGCCAAAGCGAATCGCCAGACCAAATGCACTGCCTAATGACACTGAATTTCGGCTGGGAGGAGGTGATTTCGACATGTTTACCTTGCCGTTAGTTCGATTAACCGCACCCAGGAAAATTTTCAGTTTGGAGAGCGTTTAAGGCAGATCAATCAATGAGAGTCGATATTGATTGCTGGGTAGAAGAGACTTTATTCCTTTCTGCATCTAAGCACTCCGAAAAATTTCAATTTGCATTCCAATTAAATCCCAAACTTACCCAGCGTTGAAGGCTCCGTAATATCTGCAAAAAAAAGGAGAAATATTCCATTAAAATAATTGAATAAGTTGCAGCTGCCACACGAGAAGAGTGATAAAATATGGCTTAAGTAAATCCCCACAGAGTGGGGATGGAGGAAAAGTTCTGCCATAGCTAAAATCATATTCATAACTTTTGTTTTGTTGCAGTTTTGATTGAGTGAGCATAATGGAAAATTTGCCATGCGAGTTCCTGCCATTTTCCCCCCATTTCCACCCACCCAGCTGTCTCCGCGGAGAGTGCATTCAGTCAGATTAGGTAGCCCTTTCCCCGAAAAAAATAGATATTCCATGGATTTGAACCCCCATCGAGCAATTGCCTTCACTAGAATCCACGGGGCAGTGCCAAAAAGCATGCGGCAATTTTTTCAAATTTCTTTTCTTCTGCCCGCCGACTACATCAAAATGCATTTTGGCCAAAAACGGTTCCGCGACGAGACATCCCTTCCCTTTTGGCAAAACCAATCACAAAACAAAGCATCGAGCAGCACTCGGCAAAAATTGCAAATTTACAATGGACCCGGGCAAGGGAAATGGCCCCGGTCGGGAGTCCATGGATTCGTACATTTCATCTGCTGCCCTTTCCTGCGGCTCCCCTTCCGCATAATTTGTATGCGCGAGCCGCATAACTGTCGCCCATTCCCCGTGAAACTTACACTGGCAAAAAGTTCTGGTGCCAGGAATACGTTGCAGAATAGCTGAGTAAGAGGTGTTAAATTTATCTAGAAGAAAATTGTTCTGACTTTTACCATTAAGGCTGTTTTGTTTAAAAATATATACAAAGACAAAGGAATTGTTTAGATTTTAAATACATAATATTTTAAAACCATTTTAAAGCGGGACTGGTGTTCGCGTTATAATTTAAATTAAAATATACCCGAGTTAAGAACATTTTATTTTTATTTTTTTAATTTGCATTTCTAAGAAATAATCTTAAAAGCTAGATCTTCCTAAAAAGTCAAACTTTTTTTAAAACAAAATTCAGCAAAAGAAATGGTTTAAGACCGATATTTATAACATAACTTTCGTTGACTTGTACATTTTGGAAACGAGCATAAAATCATTTCCAATTGTGAAATGAATTTATAAATATGAAATTAGTTATGGTTGATTTAATTTAGTGAACTTTTCGTCAGTGTTTTCCCCAAATGCTCCACTCCTTCTTGAATGTAACACTCTGAGAATCAGTGCAGTGGCCAGGCAGTCGCAACGTTGGTGGCCAAAGTCCTGGCCAAATTACAATGAAGAAAAATTGCATTGCCTGGTGGCGGAGTCAGGAAGATAGACACCAAAAGTGATGGAGATGGGGGTCAAGTCTCAAATCCCTCAAGGCAGACGTCTGAGTGGGCACTTTTTGCATATTACGCACTAGACATCGTCACGTTAGCTGCCCCAGCGAAATGTTCATCAAATCAACGTTGCAGCAGCTGCGTCCCTCAGTTCCCAACCGCTCCATTTTCCAACACCCTTGCACCTGCCACTGCCACTTTTGTTGCAACGTTTTATGCATTTTTTCAACGTCTGCATTGGTAACGTCTGTTGTTTCAGCTCCAAGACAAATGCCACAGTATTAAGGCCTGTGCCACGCCCCCTCCCTTGCTGCCCACTTCCCCGCCAGACGCTGCAAAAAATGGCCAAGCTTAACAATCCGCGTTTCTGGATTTTCCATTTTTCCCCATTTCCCCTCCTCCCCAAACCACCAGCGTCGCGTACGTGCCGAAGTCGCCTTGTCCCAATGTCCTGAACTAGCCCACAGCCGGCAAATGCAGCTTTCCTTTTGCATACAGCCCAACCGGAATCCTCAGCCCCAATCCCCTCGAGCAATAAATACAAAATGCAGAAATGCCAGGCCGGGCACATCTTCAAGGCGCCCACTCACCCATTTACGCCCACGCATTTTTTGCACTATATGAATTGCATTGCCAACCCTTGCAACCAGCACAAAATGGCACACTGAGATAAAACTGTAGCAATAATGCTAGAAGAATTATAAAAAGCTTATCTGTGTTATACATATACATTTTGTATCTTTATGTTTTAAGATTGAATTAATTAAGTTCAAAAAATATATACCTTTTTTAATAATCTAATAATATTAAAACATTTCAGAAACGTTAGGGATGTAAAATCTCTACAGCTTTTAAGAAGATCCTGTATAATTATTTCTAGGACGAGTTTCAAGGCTTTTAGCAAATAAAAATGTTTATTAAATAGCGGAATAGCAAGAACTTTCTGTAAATAATAAAGGAAATTTATTAAAATCTTTGGAAACACACATGTGCAATGGAATAAAACTATGAAATCCCCTCGAACTGGAACTAAGCAAAGAAAGAAACAGGACCTATTTCGATAAGAAAAATGCAATTTCGGTGGTATTTGCTCGCAGTGCACCCAGTGGCACCCCCAAACCTACTCATCTGGGGCAGCTGAGGCGTCTCGACGACGATTCCGTTGATTTGGCATCGCTGCAGCACCGTGGCCATATCCCGTGTCCAATCCAATTCCACTGGCTGGGCCTAACAATGTGCATCCGACTGGGAGGGGACTGGGTCCTTGGACTCGTCCTGCTACCACTGATTCGTCGTTGTCCTCCTCATTCGGTTTGCTTTGTTTGGGTTTTGGGTTTGGGTTTTTGGGAGTGAGTCGCAGCGAGCTGCTTGTTTTGTGCCATTTTTACTGCAGCCTTTGGCTTGCATTTTTTCTTGCTGCCTTCACTTGAACTGAAGTAGAGATACCCACCCATTGTCCCTTCATCCGGCGGTGCTGCAGTTTTTGATTTCACTTTTTCGGCCACCCAACTCCGCCCCTTCTTTTTCCTTGGACTGAGCTGCACTGAGCTTCGATTCGGTTTGGTGGGGGGGGGGAGGGCGTGGTACTTGTCCCGCCCCTTTGGCGTCATGCAACACTTTCGTGGACGTTGCATACTTTTTTCGATGCCGTTCTGCAGCAGTAAGCAAATAGCAACATTTTTTGTTCGCGTCTTTCTATTTTTCAGCTGCAGAGTTTTTCGCATTATTGTGTACCGTGGAGACTACACTGAATGTTAAAATACTGTGGATCTTGGAATCTTTGAACACTTCAGAACTAGAACTTTTGAATTTTTCTTGAATCAGAAAATATCAATCATAAGTGTCACAGCAAAATGGAAATATTTTTTAAGAGACAAATAGTTTTTCCTATGGCCTTTATGATTAAGTGTCTTCATGGAAGATTAGTAATTGCCATGACTGATTGTTATTATAAACAGAAATTTTCAACATTTAATAAAAATTCAAAATTATCCTTCAAGTTGTTTAAACGACTGTTGGTTTTATAGTTACCATTATTATTATTTTGTAATTATAGTTATAATTCTACTTTAGCAAAAGATTTAGTTGAGAGCGTAGATTTGCTTTTTTTTATTCATTTAAAAGTGCTATATTTAAATTTCAGAGTGTTCATTTTGATTTCATAGCCTTTGATAATAAAGGTCCCCTATTATTTCCATTCATATTTCCCAGTAATTTATTTTTTGAATAATTTAGAAACTCAATTCAGCTGCGATCAGGGGAAGTCTAAGTTATGAAAGTTCAACTGGTCGTTTGTTTCTGTGAGGGATCCCGTCCTGGTGGGCAGCATTCCTAGTGCACTCCGGGCTTAGTCCAGTCGAACAGGTCCTGATTTTAGCCCCAGTACGGTGGCTCAGAGGCAGCAAAAGCAAAACACATTGCTGATTGCATTTGCTTTGTCTGCCCCATGCCGCTGCAACCCCCTTCCCTGTAGATTTTCACCCTGCGGCTCTGTGTCTCCCAGTGAGTGTGTGTGTGTGTTTGTGTGTGTGGAAAACTTTGGGGGCCCAACTGCAGTGCCAAAAAGCAAACTTGTTGTTTACGTTTTATCTTATACCCATAGCGACATCCTCGTCCCCTTGATTTTGCCGCCTGCTAGGCTCATGTGCAGTCTTATGATGCTGACAGTTGTCGCCATTGCTGCTGGTCCACAGGATCCCCCTTAGTCCCCCCTTCCCCCCTGCAGCTACGCTGCCATTTTGAAATGCAGTGCGGGCGGGAGTGGGTGATCCAGAAGGGGAGGGGGGGGAGGTGGCAGCGGGTGGCAGGGCCAGGACATTTCATTTCTGAAGAATTGCTTTGTCGGCCCGGCAACGTCGTTGGTTTCATCCAAAACAACAGCAACATCAGAAGCTGAAGCTGGAGCAGGAGCAGCAGGAGGAGGAACAGGATCGGGAGATGGAGTAGCAGCTGGAGTGGGTGGACCAGGACCAGTGCACTTGCCTCTGGCCAGGGGCGGATCCATGGCAAAAAGGAGTGCCACACGTTGCACAAATGAAATTTTGCATTTTCAATTTTTTGAAATAGGCTTTTCCTATGCCCCAGACAGAGAGAGAGCAGGACATCTCATCCTGTTCTGTTCGCAGGACTGCGGCTGGGACAAAAAATAAACTCACCATGGTGACTGGGGCCTTCAGCAAAAACCTTCGACTTGTCTCGTTTCGCTTTTGTTGTGCACGGAATTTTATTTCTCGGCATTTGATTTTGTCGCTTTTCGCTGGCCTGCACATCCTGCTCCTTTCCCATCCTGTTGGTGCATTTTTTCCTTGCCAACTGCACTCGTCCAATGCATTTCTCTGCCGGCTTTCTTTTCTTTATTTTCCAGATGGGGTGCACCCAGTGATGAGGGGCTTGGGGTCACCCCCCAGCGCACTTGCTATTCAAAATGGTGGCCAGGCCATGCATTTTGAGTTTTTTCTTTGCATTGCTTATGTTTCAGTTTTGTTGCCATGGCTGCCATCGCTGTTTGCTCTCTGGGTTTTGTTTTTGTTTTTGGTTTTTGTCCTGTTTTGCTTTCAGCTGCCGGTGCAACGGTGGGTGGGGATGGGCGATGGCAAAGAATGCAGTTGTACATAGGGAGGGTGCACTGTAGGGAATGGGAGGTGCCGGGTTGAAAGCTGCATCTGCATCTGCAGTTAGCTGTGCGAATTCTTTTCCT